AAAACGTCCTTCAACTGACAAACAAAAAAATACATCCACTCTTGTATCGACCGTCGAAAACAGTGCCAACAAAGTAACGAACAATAATACAGATAGGAGAACGATATCGTGCTTATGGCATCCACTCATCCATCTATCATAGACAAAAAAAACTCGACAAAAACTACTGCTAGTGGATCAACAGCTATCGCCGCAACCAGCAGTACTGTTGTGCTGCCTCGTCATACTCGTCGAATTGTACAAAATTATCTTCTTGTCTGGCTGGATGCTAATATTGATGAATCGAAGAAAGATTTTAAAAGTTCATTAGCGCACCTACGGCACATTGTGGCAACGATCAGGACATTTACCGATGCTGACGAATGCATCCAGTTTATGAAGGACATTCAAGAAGAAAAAATATTTTTGATTATTTCTGGTTCACTGGGACAACATACTGTACCGAAAATCGATTCATGGCCACAATTAGATACCATTTATGTGTATTGTGGCAATAGAGCGGCCCATGAACAATGGGCCAAAACGATGTCGAAGGTAAAAGACGTGTACACTAATATCGATTCAATTTGTAAAGCATTAGAAATCGATAGTAAACAATGTGATCAAACTATGATTCCGATTAGTTTTTGTGGCATTGATCCGTCGTTTATGTACACGCAATTGTTTCAAGAAGTTTTTTTGGAAATCGATGATGACGACTCTACATCTATCAAAGAACTTGTCGAGTACTGCCGTCTTCACGAGGATATTCAGGAAAAAGAGATTCGAGAGATCGAACGAGAATATTGTCATCATACACCCATATGGTGGTACACCGCGCCATATTTTATCTACTCGATGCTTAATCGAGCTCTCAGATTACTGGATGTCGATATTATACTAAAAATGGGTTTCTTTATTCGACACTTACATCGAGATATTGAAAAATTACATCGCGAACAACAATCCACAACTACAACAAATGCAACTCCTTTTCAAGTATTTCGAGGTCAAGGTTTATCTCTGCAAGACTTTGAAAAAATGAAAGAAACAAAAGGAAGATTTATGTCTTTTAACTTTTTTCTTTCAACAAGTCGCAATCGTAAAATTTCGCTGAAAAGCTTTGCATGCCCGGCAGCACGTAAACCTAATTTCGTTGGCATACTCTTTGCTATGACTATCGATCCGACACTATCTGCAAAATCATCGACTCCTTTTGTCGACGTCAGAAACGTCGGCTACTACGGAGATAAAGAAGAAGAAATTCTTTTCTCGACACACACAATTTTTCGCATCGATCGAATTGAACGAATCGAAGACAAACATACTGATCGCCTATGGGAAGTTAATCTCACACTCATAGGTAACTACGTCGATGATTTGAACATGGTCGCGGCATATATACGCGAGGGAACTAGTGCAAAAGGATGGTCTCGACTAGGTGAAATACTTATTGAAGTGGGAGAGTCTGCAAAAGCGGAACAAGTCTACCAGCACCTCCTGGAAAGAGCATCTTCCGATAAAGATAGAGTGGGTTACTATTTCCAACTTGGTGAAGTGTATAACAACATGGGCAATTACTCGAAAGCACTTTCGTTTTATGAAAAAGCACTCAATATCTACGAAACTATTCGCCCTCCAAACCATCCCGACTTGGTTTATTGCTACAATGGCATTGGTTTGGTGTATAATAACATGAAGTTGTATTCGAAAGCACTTTCATTACATAAACGAGCGCTTGATATTCGCCAAAGATCTCTCTCTCCTAATCATCCCAGTCTAGGTACTTCCTACAACAACATCGGTTTAGTGTATGATAATATGGGTCAGTACTCAAAAGCGCTTTCATCACACGAAAAAGCGCTTGATATCAGGAAGAAATCTCTACCTGAGAACCACCCCGACTTGGCTGCTTCCTACGGTAACATCGGTAGTGTGTGCTATAACATGGGTGATTATTCGAAAGCACTGTCATCATATAAACTAGCACTCGACATTAACCTAAAATCTCTGCCCCCGAGTCATCCCGACCTGGCTGCTTCCTACAACGATAATGGTTTGGTGTATGAAAAGATGAGCGACTACTCGAGAGCACTTTTATTTTACGAGAAAGGTTTTGATATCTTGAAAAAATCTCTCCCTGAGAACCATCTCACCTTGGCTGCTTCCTACGGCAACATCGGTAATGTGCATTGTAAGATGGGCGAGTACTCAAAAGCACTTTCATCCTACGAAAAAGCACTTAATATCCACCAAAACGCACTCTCTCCGAACCATTCCGACTTGGCTTGGTCCTACAGTAACATCGGTTCGGTATATAAAGCCATAGGCAAATACTCGAAAGCACTGGAATATTATGAAAAAACGCTTGAGATTTTCGAAAAATCTCTTTCTCCAACGCATCCGCATGTCGAACTATGCAAAAAAAACATTGAACTTGTGAAGAAGAAATTATAATTCGTTCATTTTTTCACTGCAAGAAATTTAACTCGTCTCTTTAAGGTTCATTACGAATTTGTTTCTATGTAATAGGGTGTGGGGTGTGGGTGTGGGTGTTGGTGTGGGTTTGGTGTGAGGAAACAATAAACAACCACACCCACACCCTCTAAACATAGCATGCGCTAAACCCGATAGGAAAACCTTTAATTACTCATTGAAAATCTACGCCAAGAGTAACCTAGCATGGGAAATTCGAATCTGAGAACAGTATTGTTCTAATATTAATATAGGTAAGATTTAGATATATCAGATGTCCTATAGAACTGCGTTCTGAAATTTTTCAGGCTCGTATACTTAGCTACTTTTTCTACTCAACTTTTCCTTCAAGTGCCAGTCTAGTTCTTTTTTCTATTATTCATTTGAATATATTAAGTTATTTGTTAGAAATAAAAAATTATAGTGTACCATATGTTTGGATGTAAGAATTGAAAAAATTCTGGCCAATCTCAATTGGTAATTTCCATTTTCGCCGAATTCCAACTTCACCGAAAGAATTTTTCGCTGACGGAGACATTGGAATGAGTGCACATGTGGGTGTAGGTGTAAGTGTG